AACGTATGTTTTTATACAGCTTGGAAGGTAAGAATGTATGTATTTTTAGTAGTTTAAAAATTTTTTTAAAGACAGTATTTCGTGAAGTGATAGTTGAGCGAAGTTCAAATTTTAGTGCCGATAACTGAAGTAACTAAAGTTTTACTGACACATAGTAGCCACTCTTAACCTGTGGCTGCTTTTATACTGCATTGCCAGTTGTGTAATTCTAGTTCTTTATGGAAGCTTTTGTTGCCTAGTGGTCAGAAACTAAGCTGCAATCCCAAAAGTGTGTGGTTCAACTTCACCAGCTGCTATGTTGGAAAAGTCTCCATCCATGCCATCTACTGCCTCTGAAAACCCACTGGAAAGTCAGCTTTGAGTCTGTTCCAACTCAGTGGCACAACAACAGTGGCAACTCACATGCTCTTATAATCCATAACTGTAGAAAGTAGATGCAGTATTCTATAATCCTATAATTAAGGAAACACACTCTAAAATATTAATTTCTCCAGGTGACATGATGTAGGAAGCAGAGGGAGATTCTAAAGCATATTATTTATGAGGCTACTTGCCTTTAAAGGAGCTCTGATGGCCTAGTCGTAGGAAACTGTGCTGTAGTCCCAAAAGTACATGGTTCATATCCTCCAGCTGCTGTTTGGGAAATGGATAGACAGTCTCCTGTGTGACTTACTGTCTCTTGAAACCTGCTGGAGGGTCAGCTGTGAGTATAGCACACAACATGCCTTTGAGTTGTGATGTTGGAGAAGAGTGCTGAATATCCCATGGACTGCCAAAAGAGTGAGCAAATATGTCTTGGAAAGTTGCAGCCAGAGTTCTCCTTGGAGGCAAGGATGATAAAGCTTCGTCTCACAGTTTGGGGATGTTATTAAGAGAGGCTATTCCTTGGAAAGGTAGAGGGGTCAGTGAAGGAGGGCAGTATCTTCGACACAGTGACTGCAGCTATGGGTTCAACTATGTCAGAGATTGTGAGGATGGCACAGGATAGAATGTGGTTCAGCTCTGATGTTTGTAGGGTCAGTGAACCTAACAGCAACATGCAGAGAACTAAATTCGAGTCTTAGGAAATGATAGGAAAAAGAATGGTGAAGTAAGAGAGATGAAACATAATAGTGTGGTAAAATATATTTGTTCTAGTTGAATCAGAAATGAAATGGAAAGTATAAAGGTCCATGTTGGAGGCATTTGTGAACTGGAATTGACTATTAAAGACCATTTTGGATCAGATGGTAATAGTATGGGATATACATAAGGAATGACATTGCATTTATCATCCAAAAGAACATTTCAGGATCTGGCCTAGGTAAATATCCATACACCTATAAGGAAGCCTATAAAACTAGACATACCAGTTACTAATGGCTAAGATTAAGAAATTGAAGATTTTTTGCACTGCAATCCCAGAGGTGGACAGCTCGAATCCACCAGATGCTCTGCTGGAGAAGGAGGAACAAGCTCCTCCTGTACCAGTCAGATCCTGATTTGACCATTTTACATTCCCACCAACAGTGAATAAGGGTTCCAGTTTCTCCACAACCTCGCCAGGATTTGTTGCTTGCTGTTCTGTTAAATTTTGCTATTCTGACTGGGGTGAGATCATATCTCATAGTTGTTTTAATTTGCATCTCCCTTTGAGCTAGGGATTTTGAGCATTTCTTCATGTACTTCTCTGTTCATATCCTGTGCCCATTTTTCAATTGGGTTATTTACCTTTATCTTGTTGTGGTGTCCTCCCATTTTTTTAAGGTAAGAGTAAATGGAGATTTATTAGAAAGCTGTATCCTAAAGGGAAGGACCTCCATCCTTGAAATATAGAGGAGAGTCCTCTCCTTTACCTCTTAATGTTTGTTTTATAAATTGCTTTTCTATATTAAGAATTCTGTAGAGAAACTGTTGCTACCCAAAGGAGTTCTGAATATGATAGTGCATGGTTGCTTAGCTACTGCTAGTTAATAAACATCCTAAGATGTTTACTCATAAGATTTTCTAGATAGAAAAGTTGATCCTTGAATTTCTTTATTTATAGCTTTTCCAGCTTATTTTTTAAATTAAAGCATGAAAATAACTATGAGATATCTTCTCACCACAGCAGCAGTAGCAAAGTTCAACAAGACAGCAAACAACAAATCCTTGTGAGGTTGTGGAGAGATTGGAGCTCCTGTTTACTCCAGATGGGAATATAAAAACGGTACGGCCACTATGCAAGGTGGCCTGACTCTTTCTCAAATAAAAAAGCCATTTGACCCAGCAATTCCACTACTGAGAATATACCCAAAAGAAACCAGAGCAACACCCATGCACATCCATGTTTACTGCTGCATTATTCACAGTAGCAAAGATGGGAGCAACCCAAGTGCCCATCAACAGATGAATAAATAGACAAACTATGGTACAGTCACTCAGTGGAAAATTATGCAGCATTAAAAAAACTGAACATGTAAAACGTGGCTCAACATTGGGAAGCCTGAAGGGCATTATGCTGAGTGAAGTATCTCAGACACAGAAAAGATAAACACTGCTTAACACTGGTGTTATAAAATAGGACAGACATGGGGAGGTTTGGGAGAGAATGAGAAAAGTGGATAGATAATGAACAGATGAAGGGAAGAACTGTCTGAAAGGAATATGATTAGGCATTATAAGTATGATCATAATCTGGAAGAAGGAGTGCATTGTGTGGTGGGCTGGAGGAGAAAGAAGAGGGGGAAAATGCAATAATAGAAATAAAATAACAATGTGAATAGAAGAAAAAGTGGTTAATTTTCTAATTGTCTTTGGTAAAATGGCACAATATTCTTTCATTTTAGAGAACTTTGGGCATGTTTTGAAGAGGGATCAGTCCCTGAGGAAGAATATTGTGCTTGGTTAAGTTAGAGGATCAATAAAAAAGAGGAAGATTCAGAAAAATGGATTGACACATTGATTGCGGCAGTGTGTTCAAACATAGCAGTTGACTATGTTGACACAGTGCTTCATTCTCTTGTAGAGTTTGTTTCAACTATGAGTTGGAACCAACTTGACGGAACCAAACAACAGTCTAAAGAGTTATAGCAGCAACTTTCAGAAAGGTGGAAAAGAAACTTTAATGGAATCAGAATTTTTCTACTATGACATTATGGAATAATTGAGTATGGAGTTTGAAGTCACACACCAAACGGTTTATAAGTCATTTCCAATTCATAGCAGCTCTAGTACAGAATAGCCCCACATGGTTCTCAAGGCTGAGAATGTTAAAGAAGTAGACTGCCACATCCTTCTTCAGGAAAGTATTGATGAGTATGTAATAACAACATATTTCACTGCTGTCCATTTCTTTGCTTTGTCTCACATTAGAAATACCTTTGTAAGTATTTCCCTTCATGTTTAACAAGTGTTTAGCTCAAGGTATAGATTTGATTTCTAATCCCAACCTGTCACTGTTGTTGTTATGGGCCATCGAGTCGCTTGCGACTGTACCAGTCACACTGCCTCTGACACACCCATCCCGATTACCCCAGTCACTGAATCAATCCACCTCATAGAGGGCCTTCCCTCCTGCGCCAGCCCTCCACCCTCCCAAGCATGATGACCCTCTCCAAGGACCTGTCCCTCCTTAAATGTCCAAAAGATGTCAGACGAAGCCCCAGAATCCTTGCCTCCAAGAAGTAGCCTTGTTTAACCCTCTCCAGGCTGAATCTTTCCTTGACAGTCCATGGTACATTCAATACTCTTCCCTAGCACCACAGCTCATAGGCATCAAATCTTCTGTCCTCCTTAGTCATTGTCCAACTCTGATGCATAACAAGTGATTGCAAAGACCATGGCCTGTATCAGACACACCTTAGTCTATCCAGACACACACCGTTGCTCTTGAGTACTTTAGAGAGGTCCCTAACAGCAGACTTTCCCATTGCAATACATTTTTTTATTTCCTGGCTGCTGGTTGACCGTGGAGCTGAGCTTTAGGCAGAATATTAAATGATCCAGGAAGTATTAAAAGAAGATGGAAGAAATATACTGTCATTGTATCAAAGGAATTGGCAGATTCAGAAGAATTTAATGAAATAACATTTGAGCAAGGGCCTATGGTGATGAAGGATGAAGTTCAAGCTGCTTTGAAGGAAGTAGCAAAAAAATAAGGCCCCAGGAATAGATGGTATACCTATTGACATATTTCAGCTAACAGATGCTGCTGTGGATGTGCTCACCAAGTTGTGCCAAGAAATCTGGAGAACAACCACTTGGCCAACTGACTGGAAGAGGTCAATATTTGTTCCCATCCCAAAGAAAGATGACCCAACAGAGTGTGGAAACTACAGAACAATCTCATTTTGATGTCATAAAAAAAAAAATCATTGTTATCAAGTAAAAACCAATAGTCAACCCTCCAGTAGATTTTCCAGAGGCTGTAGATAAAGTAGCAGAGTACTCAAATGATATGAGCTAGCTTTTACCCAGCTGTGATTCATGGGATAATTTTGGGCTAAGGTTTAAAGAGTATCTCAGAGCAATAATCTCAGGAAGTCCTCTTAGTTTATTAAGTCTGTATTCTTTGAGAATTTAAGCTCTCCTTTCCATGTTTTGCTTCCGTTCTGTCAGGATCTGTGTATTGTGGTCTAGGTGAGTGTGGTAGCCAGACACCGTCTAGTTCTTCTAGTTCCAGGGTAGATGGGGCCATTGTTCTTATATACTTTTAACCCTGTGGAGTTGTTTCTTCTCTGAGTCTTTGGTTTCCTTCGTTCTCTTTTATTCCCTACACATAGCTTTATTTTAACTAATCTTCCTCCAGTTCCAGAGCCCCAGTTAATCAAGCTGACAGAGCATTTTTGAAACTCTCCAGTTGATTCATCAAAATGCAGGCTTTTTTGCTCTGTGGAGAGGTACACTTTGCAGAACAAGGAGATTCACTGCCATTAAGTCTATTCTAACTCTCCGAGAACATATTAAATAACAATGTGAGAAACCTGTCTATTGTATCCTTAATCTTAATACTGCATTTTTCTATTTTCAGAAAGCTACTAAAGTTCCTGTGGAAACAAAGTAGAATTTCGAAGAGCATAATGGGTAAGTTATATAAAACAATTTTGTTTTGACTAAAACTGAGCTTTTGTCTCAAAGGCTTTTCAGTTCAGTGAATGCAAGTAAGAAAATGGTCAGAGAAGACAAATTGGTTGTTTAAATCTACAGCTTATGTTTATATTCTGGAGAAGCAGATCAGTGATATTATTGTAACAAATCCAATTTTATTATTAACAAATTTTGTTTATTAACAAATCCATATTATTGTAACAAATCACATTCTGCCACATTTGCTTTCCCTGTCAGTCTTTGTAAGTATATTCATATACATGTGCTCTCCCTCCACCCCATGTTACACTTTATACCTTGTACACAGGGGTGCATCTCAATTCTTGTACAGAATTTCTGAATTTTCTAAATAGTGTCTTTACAGTGGATTTTTGTTTTAAATCCAAGATCTAATCAAGGATCACTTAGTCTAACTTCTCTACAAATTTATTTTTTTTCTATAATTATATTTTATTTTCATAAACATTTACAGAGATTTTGGGTTTCCATTCATTCATTGTTGCACTATTCTCTCTACCCTCCTCCCAGTTTGATCTTGTCCAAATGCCACAGTGCTTGTCAAAGCCAGTTCTGATTAATCTTCTTTGTCTGTGTGTCCTTTGCCATTCCCTATCACTCCTCCCTGAGAGAGACTTCACCCTCAGTCATAAGGAAAAGGGGATGGCGTATTCTCTTAGCTACTTCCTGCTGAAAAGGGACGCTGTGGGTTTCAGGGTGAAGATCTTCTCTCACTACTCTAAAGGGCCCCTTTGGCAGTAGGAAACACATAGACTATTATGGAGATTGATTTTGGAATTTAGATGCACTCTTATTGATTGTGCTTGGCCGTACATGTCTTTTTTTGTTTAAAGCTCATTGGGGTTTTTTTTTTCCCCTCTTGAATATGGTTCATATTTGAATTAAACATGTCACCCTGTTTCATTTTGGCACAGATTCTTATGTAAAATAGTCGTCCTTCATCAATTCTCCTTCTATCCTCTCTAGTCATTGCCCAACTCTCTGACGCATATTCTTTCATTGTTACACAGTACCTCTCCCCAAGTCTATGCCACTATGCAGACTTCATTCTGGACACCTCTGTCATGACAATAATACCTAATCATATATCCCTTTTAAACAGTTCTCCATCATATGTTTCAGTGCAGTGTGCATATAATTTATCCCATCTTTCTCAGCCTCCACCCCCAATCCCGATGTCAGTCCTATTTTACAACAGCGCACAATGCTATATTCGTCCTTTTTGTAACTGAGATATTTCACTCAGCATACTGGCCTCCAGGGTCACCCATTTTGTATCGTATTTCATGAGTTCCTTGTTTTTCAATGCAGTGTAGTATTTCATTGTGTGAATATACCAAAGCTTCTCTGTCCATTTGTTTGTTGATGGGCACGGTTGATTCCAACTCTTTGCTATAGTGAACAAAGCGGTGATAAACATGGGTGTGCATATATCTGCTTGGGTGGCAGTTACGGTTTCTTTGGGGAAAATTCTCAAAGTGGAATTGCTGGGTCAAATAGTATTTCTATTTGCAACTTTTTGAGAAAGCGCCATATTGTGTTCCCTAGTGGTTGCACCATTTTACATTCCTACCAACAGTGAATAAGGGTTCCAGATTCTCCACAACCTCACCTGCATTTGTTGTTTGGAGCAAATGAAGATAGGACAGAAGCTGTTTTTAGACCAGTTAATTGGAATAGCCTGGGAATAGAATCCAGGTAGTGCAGTATTTAAAATGCTTGGCTGCTAACTTTAAGATTGCTGGTTCAAACCCACCAGCTGGTCCTTGGGAGAAAGATAAGGCAGTCTGCTCCCATAAAGATTTATAGCCTCAAAATTCCTGTGAAAGATAAGGCAATCTGCTCCTATAAAGATTTATAGCCTCTAAATTCCTGTGAGGCCCTTCTGCTGGTCTACCTATAGGGTCACCTAGAGTCAGAAAAGACTCCATGACTGTGGAGTTTTGGTCCCATGAAACTATGACTCCAAACCTCCAAATCCCATGAGGTGTTGCCTGTACATGAGCAGCTCAACAGCTGTCCTTTTTGGGTATATAATTGTTGTAAATATTCATGTATTGTTTTAGAGAATTATATGAATAAAAAATCCTTTTACTGTATTAATATAGATGGAGAGGAGAAAACTTACGGTGGCTGTGAAGGCCCAGATGCCATGTATGTCAAATTGATATCTTCTGATGGTCATGAATTTATTGTAAAAAGAGAACATGCACTAACATCAGGAACAATAAAAGCCATGTTGAGTGGCCCAGGTGGGTGCATTTCTTCTCTATTATTATCATCTTTTACTTTTAATGTTTGATTGATTGATTAATATATTTATAATTTTAATTAACATTTTTAAAAGAGTAACTTATATCATTACTACATGATTATGTTACACTGAAAGATACTATTTTCTGTCATTTCTCTTATTTACCCTATAAGTTTCAATAAGAAAATTATTTTGTAATATGAAAGTTTGCTTCCCTGTGTTAGTGTCCATGGTCAATTTATTAAACATTAAAAGGAGCTTTTGATTATTTTGTTATTGTTATGTGCTGTTCAGTCCCCTAAGACTAGTTGTTATGTGCCATCGAGGCGCTTGAGACTCAAAGCAACCCTATGTACAACAGCCCTAAACCCTGTCCTGTGCCAGTTGCGCTGTCTCTGACACTCCCATCCCGATTGCCCCAGTCACTGAATCAATCCACCTTATAGATGGCCTTCCCCTCCTGCGCTGTCCCTTCACTCTCCCAAGCATGATGTCTCTCTCCAAGAACTGGTCTCTCCTTACAACATGTCCAAAGTATGTTTGACGGAGCCTCAGAATCCTTGCCTCCAAGGAGCCTCCCGGTTTAACCCTTTCCAGGATGAGTCTGTTTGTTTTCCTAGCAGTCCATGTTATCCTGAATACTCTTCTCCAGCACCATAGCTCAAAGGCATCAATTCTCCGTCTATCCTCCTTAGTCATTGTCCAACTCTCTGATGCATAACAAGTAAAGACCATGGCCTGTATCAAACGCACCTTAGTCTCCAGAGAGACACCATTGCTCTTCAGTACTTTGGAGAGGTCCCTAACAGCAGACTTTCCATGGCAATATGTCTTTTAATTTCCTGGCTACTGGTGCCCAGAGTATTGACTCTGGAGCCAAACAGACTAAAGCTGTGAACAGTCTCAATCTCTTCACCATCCATCCTGATGCTGCCATTTGGTTCAGTGGTAAGAATATGTCTTCTTGACATTGAGCCTTAATCCATATTGGAGGCTGCAGTCCTTGAACACTGTGCAACACTCAGAAGCAAAAATTTCTATAAATACTGCATAACTTGAGAGAGGCTAGAGAGCAGTTTCATAAGGACAAACACTACATAAGACCATTGTTTTAAAAATAGGTTGGCATAGATAGTTTGGTGAGTGGAGGTGGGGCGGGAAGTATCCAGGAGAAAAAGAGGATTATAATGGGCAAGGTCCGACGATCATTAATTTTATGAAACATAATGCAAGAATATGAATGTATGAAACACAATGTGTAAGAAGAATAGTGTGAAACATAATGCATATGAACTTCGCAGGCAAACCATGGAGGGCAAGTGAACCGCTACATTGATTGGATTAAGAAAGGAAAGGCAATATATAGTGAAATTGATCAGATATTGTCATTAATTACAGTAAGCAATTGTAATTAATACTGTAACACAAAATGAACCAATCTGATTTATAAACTTTAACAAAAATCATTTTAATAAAAAAAGGCTAAAGATAGAAACTGAATTTCTTTTTAAAAATTTTTTTATAAAATAGCTTTTAAAAAAAAAATTTCTAGGAATGAATGAAAACCCAAAGTCTCTGTAAATGTTCATTAAAACTAATAAAATTTAATAAAAATTAAAAAAATTCTAAACATTTACTCATTTACAGAAAAGCACAATTAGAAAATTTGTTATTTCTATTTTTATGTGGCAATTCCTCATAGTATAGGGTTCCTGATGACCTATAAACACTTGCTTCCTGGACTATTTCTTGCAAAATAATAATTCTCCCCCCTAAGGTGTTAGGAAAAGCTGCTTAATCTTTGGAAAAGCATGAGAACTTAAAATGGCATTCTATTAAATCCTTATACAGTTATGTGTATGTATGTATGTACATGAATATAGATACAGTTTATATTCAATAATCAAAGCTAAATATTTCATTTGATACTAGTTAGAACTATTGTCTTAATGTAATATTTTTGTCTTACAGGTCAGTTTGCTGAAAATGAAACCAATGAGGTCAATTTTAGAGAGATCCCTTCACACGTGCTATCAAAAGTTTGCATGTATTTTACCTACAAGGTTCGCTACACTAACAGCTCCACTGAGATTCCCGAATTCCCAATTGCACCTGAAATTGCACTGGAACTGCTGATGGCTGCGAACTTCTTAGATTGTTAAATAAAATAAATTATAATAATAAACTGTTAACTTTTTCCAGTATTTAATACCTATAGTTCAGTTAGTAATTTTTTTTCATATAGCATGTTGCCTAAATGCAGTTGAACTATATAAAGTTCATTGCAAATCAGATTATCTCCTGTTCTTTTTTCCATAGCAATCAGAGTTGAAATTTGTTTGCTGCATTAAACCAATTAAGGACATTTTCACAAACAGAAATAGACAGACATGCTAGTTTGTAGGTGGTTTTGCCTTATCATTTGGATGTGACTATAGAAATGCTGAAATGTAGACATAAATGAGCATGTTCTACAGGTACATAATGGGGCTAAGTATTTTTAGGTTTTTTCTAAGAAATGTCATCTTACTAGCATTACCAGTTATACAAACAATTGCATTATAAATATGTTTGTAACTTAGCCAGAACATTGATTTTTATAACTCCCAAAGATAAGGTTTGAAATTTCTTATGTCTTTTGATAAACGGCAGTATTGTTTAAGTGTATCTTGTCTTTTGTTTATTGCTACAATTTAAGAACTTACTTAAAGGTGATTTTTGAGTGGTCAGTAAGTAAACTGTATTACTTTGATTTCTTGTCAATACCGCATTTTGGCCAATACAAAATACTGTACTTTAATTGACTATAAAGGTTCCTTTTGCAAATATTCTCACAAAATCCCTTGTTATGATTACTCCACTTGTAATTAACTATTTTAAAAGGCCCATAGTGAACTTTATATCTTAAAACCTGAACTTTTCTGAGCTTTTGTGGTCTTTGTTCAAATGAAATATTAGACAGTATGAAAAATGTTGAGAGGTTCAGTAAAAATTAGAATACACCTTGAAGAGTACATAAATTATCTCCTGTTAATGAAAATATGACTTGTTAAAAATAACTAATTTATGGCTATTCTGAAATTTGTAAGAAAGTCATTCAGCTTTTATATTAAGCAGGCAGAAATGACAGATTATGACAGAGTAGCTCTCTTGGTTAGGCATGGAGGAAACAGCATTGAGATTGGGTTTTGTATTGTTACTATCTTAATATAGAACAGCCATGATGAAGAGTATATGAAATCTTGAGGTTAGGTCTTTAAGACTTAACAGCGTGCACCAGTTTTTCCAAAAACTTCCAAGTACCAAACAAATAAACCTATCAAGGTAACTTTATGCTCTTAAGAAACCTAAATATACTTTCCATCTTACTGAAAGTAGCTGAATATAAATGCTGACTACATATATTTTAGTAACTTTGTAAGACATACTGGCACATATTTTAGTACAGAAGTTTATTCTGCTACTTGGTAACAAATAATGGCAATTAAACTTGATCTCAAAGGTCATAGCTAGAAATAAAGCTTAAATTTTTTTTAGTTTTAATAGGTTACTTTGTGTGTTAGATCCAGAAGTAGCCTTAAGGTTAAGACATTAAATAGAGCTAAAATGAAAATTAGGAAAATGTGTATATCTTAAAATAAACAGTGCATGTTAAGACTATAATGACTAAAAGGTGTGAATAGTTGGTGATAGATCTTTTTAGCCTTAATTTTCTCTCTGAAGGATTCTTTCTGAAGATTCATAAAACTTCAGTATACCTCACCATATATGATCAAATAATGAAAACATTTATGTGGTTACATTTTAGAGATCATGATGATTATTGGTAGCATTGCACATTCTTTTCTCACATCTGGTATTTAATTTCTTCAGATTTCTCCAGTATTTTTTTCTGTAGAGAAAATACTACCACAAAATCCTTAGCTAATGTTTCAGTTTTGTGCATACAGAGACTTTAGAGACACCTGTTGTTGCATGGAGCTGTTATCTTGATGTGAATCATGTGGCTAAGCTTATCAATTATTCTTTAAAAATTGCTCTCAAGAAATCCTGAGAAATATAAAATTGCTGTCAAAGATGCAAGCGTTTAACCCTGCTAGTTCCTTTGTAGAAAATAATTGTCATCAAATTAGCAATATATCCAGACTTAGCAATGCTAAGTTGATCCTCTTCTTATGTCTAAATTTAATGAAACACTTAAGATCTGGTAATCAGTAGATACCATTGATTTTTTTTAAATACATTGTTTTTCTTGCAATATATAGATGTAGCTTTATCCTAGACCACTCATATTTATGCTAAAATTTATATTCCTGTTAGAGTAAACACTTAAATATTATTCCTAATAGTTGGTTCAAACAAATATTTATTAGCCTAGAAGTATTTTAATATTGGTATATCAGAACATCAGACTGGTAGTTAGAAACTATAGAATCTTACGCTGATTAATTAGCTTTTGACCTTGTACTAGTCATTGACCCTCAATTTCACATCTATACATTTGGAGGTTAACACCTATAGTTTTATGATTTGGGGTGCCTTTATTTTTTCGTGAACAAGATTCTGTCTGTGGGTGTTGCTTAAATCCAGATTATTAGCATTACAGGTGATCAGTTTCAAATTGTGAACTAGAGAGAAAATGGCTTTTAAGTGATGCTTTCAAAGTAGGCATTAAGTATTCTACATCAGAACTAAATAAATTAGACCAATTTAGAAACTTTGGAGTTGCTTTCTATTGCCTGCTGTATAAAGAACATTCATTTTTAAACTCTAGTTACCAGTAATGAGTAAAGAAGATTTATGTTTTCATACCAGTACATGAGGAACTTGAAACGTATTAATTCTTACCCTAAAAGTGTATCATCAATTAGGTGCATAGGTCATTTTTTCTTTTTCTCCTTCATATGTCTTTAGCTGAAAATGGGGGAATAAAACCTTAGTGCTCTCTGAAATATTAAATTTGCTTCTTCCCATTCTCTGGTATTTTTCAGCTGGGAAAGTTTTAAATTTATTTGTGTTAAACTTCTTTGTCTTGATTAAGTTCTATCAGTTTTGTATTTTAATATGTTACTTTTCTCATGAATAGGTGTACCATTGGTACAGATTTCTTTTTTCCTTTTTTTAGTCCTAGATGCTTGGAGTCCTTTTTAATATACAAATCATTTATTACATTTGTCCTAAATAGGTTTTATTGAGACCTTTATTCATAATAGCTGCTTTTTTTTTTTTTAGAGAATGTATAAAATGGTAGGCTAGGATAAGAATCTAGATGCAATGACCTTTTTTTCCTCTCTGCTAATTTAAAAGCTTTTAATCAAAGGGAGCTCTGGTGGCCTAGTGGCAAGAAGCTGCACTGCAGTCCTAGAGGTATGCAGTTCAAATCCACCAGATGCTCTGCTGGAGAAGGAGGGGCAATCTCCTCCTGTACCAGTCAGATCTGATTTGATGGTGCACACAAAAAAAATAATAAAAATTAAAAACAAAAATCTAATCAGAGCCTCCGTTTGCATTATGACCCACATCCAATTGGAATTTTCTTTTAATACATAGTGGGATTTTAACTATAGAAGTTAACGTTTGATGCCAACTTTTCAAGTATATTTTACTTCTGAATTATTGTAGAGTTGTTCTGCCTAAAGGGCTCCATCCAGGAGTCTGCATCAATCTCATGTAATTATGAATTGAAAACTGCATTTTATTCAGACACTTGGGCAATGTTTGTCTTCCCATACAATACTTAGAGCTATTTTTGAAAGTCAGAAGTTTCTTTTGTTTCTTGCCATTTGAGCTCAACCAAAACCTCTAGTTTCCCTAGTGAGGATCTGAGATAAAACTTATGATAAATCAGTGTCAGCAACTGATTTCTCTGAGATCCAAGATTGAAATTATAGTCCATACTAAGTAGAACAAACATGGTGGTACACAATTTGCAAATAGTAAAGTGATAGAATTGAGATACAACATATGCATGAGGTATACATTAAAAAATAAGTGCTTTAATAAATAAATTCTTCTCCTTCACCTAGTAGGGCTGTTGTTGTGCAAAATGTTTCTGGAATTGCTTTTAGGGATTATAGTAAATGTTCAGAATAGCCCCCATGTGAAATGTTTTTCTTTAAATATTGTGACAGTCAATTTTGGGGGAGGGGGGTAAAATAGTAAAGCTAGATTTATTAGAAAGTTACATCCCCAAAGGGACAGACATCCCTTTTTGAAAGGAAATATGGAGGAGAGGTCAATGGTCAGTAGTTAATCCAAACCTGAGTAAAGGTGAGTCTCCATGTTGAGTCAGGGAGAAATTCACAGAACCAGATTTCAAGGTTCAGATTTGCCCTTGGGAATAAAAGGTAAATTCTTTAATCAGTGTGACTCCAAATAGTCTTCCTCTGGTAATATTGAAAATGTTTTCACAAATTAAACTCTATGCACTTGCCTTTGTTGAAGAAATTACCAAGTATATGATTTTTAGAAAGTTGCAATTCTAATGAGTTTTCTAAAAGTTGACTCTGTCCTGTTAATTGTGCTCAGAACAGATTGAATTTCAGTATTATGCCCCTGCATGTTTGGCTTCTTGCAACATCATACTGATAATTTTCCAGTTCTTTTATTTAAGAATAGTATTTACCACCGTCCTTGAAAACTGAAAATACTATGATGAGAAAAGAGTTGGGTGCATAATTACATAGACTGGTGGAGTGATTTTACTAGTGTTATAAAAAGCCAAAACCTTTTTAAACAAAAATTTAAGTCTTGTGGTCTAAATTGCAACTGTGTTTTCATCCTGATGGCAATGTTTGCCACATATATATGTATATACACTAAAAAGTACACTGTAAACCAGAGAGCAGCAAGTGAACATTTTTTTTGAGGGCATTTCTCTCTATTGCCTAGCACAGTGTGCTTTTACATGATAGGTGTTTAATAAATGTTTTTTTAATCAAGCTCAGTGGTGTGTAATGATAGTATCTTAATCATATCCCACTCAGTCTTTAAATTTTGTGTACTTATAAATCCAAATGCCAGAGGACAATTATGCTTGTCCCACTTGATAAGTGACTTTTTTTTTTCTTTTTTGTGCGTGTACCATCAAATTGGATCTGACTGGTACAGGAGGAGACTGCCCCTCCTTCTCCAGCAGAGCATCTGATGGACTCAAACCATGTACCTTTGGGATTGTAGTGTAGCTTCTTGCCACTAGGCCATCAGCGC